AGGGTTTTCTAACACTGATTAGTACTTCTTCACATATGTAATAAAGTTAATGTTTGACAATGTAACACACAATGAATGTCCACTTGAATAATATATACGTACGAAACATAAGAGCTGATCATTTTGTATGTGAAAGTTAACAACAGACTGCAACAGTGGCCAATGTATCTCGCACAGAATTTAAGTGAATTTTACATCAAATGTGTAAAAATTAAATTCTTCCAAAATACTTAATTTTTAGTGAAATTGATGCTTAGCTTAATAATAGCATTTTGCCTCATTAGTTTCTCATCACAGTATCGTCGAAGAAGAAACAAATTAAATTCTGCATTCATCTACACATATATATATAAAACATGTAAATGTTATTTTTAAATTCTTGATATTATCTCTCTCTCTCTCTCTCTCTCTCTCTCTCTCTCTCTCTCTCTCTCTCTAAAAGAGATATATCACTTCCCTTACTTATGAAAAAGTCCGACCTTTCCAGGATTCAAACCCATTACCAGGTAAAAATATTTGCAAATGCGCCCACCTGCACTCGACTAAAATACGGCACTGTAAACAATATGTTATGTGCATTCTTCGGATGATAAATTGCAAATCTCTTTTTTTTTTTATTAAAGTATGCGTCTTTGAAATAAAAATCTGAAAAATCTGGAGTTTTGAGGATTTCAAATGCATTCCGTTTCAGGGAGGCAATGATTCAGAACAAAAGATTCCCTTTTAAAAACAGATAATCTCATATTTTGCAGTAAGAATAACCTAAACTTCAACTAATGACAATATGCAATTTCCAAATAAGTGCCCATCGTTCTTATTACATACTATGTACAGTCACTGCAGTGACGGATTTAAGGGGGGGGGGGAGTGCACCCCCCAAAAAAAATTCTTTTTATTATCTGCTACACTTTTAGGGAAAAAAACAAAAGTAGTGCAACACCCTGTTCTGGTCGATATTTTACAAGTTCATTATAAAAAACTTTGTCACTTGATAATGCCCAAGGTGTCTGCATAGTAGGCTAAGCTGCAATGCGCAGTGCACAATGTATACAAAAAAATTCCATGTGTCATTCGCAGCTTTGGCATCATCAAAACAATTTTTCGCCTTTTATTCGCCATGCATTCGTCGTTATTATCAGAAAAATCATGATTTCTTTTCCTATCTTACACACTCTCAAGCTGGGGAGTACATATTACAAACTCTTTTTATATAACCATATACCTATTATCTTATGAGAAATGATAATGAAATTGAAACATAACAAGAATAAATACTTATTTTACAGCAAGTTTTAGAAATATTTTTACTCACGATTTTATACGTTATCATTTAAGATTACAAAAAAATAATGACTCATTTCCCCTTTCCAACACATCCACAAATAGACTGGCTGCGGTCCGAGAATAAGCACAGAGATATACATGTAACTTCTAAGAAGCTAGTCATATGTCTATTAGAGCGCGGCCTTATTAATTTCACAGATCACATCCCCTTTGTGATTTTTTTTTATCTAAGAACAACAACTCTTACTTTATGAGTTTGGAAAATGTTACGCTAGAGTTGTCTATCATAATGAACTCATCGTCAGATTTATTGTTCATAGATATACAGCAACATTGGGCATTGTATTCTTAAACATATTTTAATAAAAGGAAAACTTTCATACATCCTCATTTTTATTTACAGTATATATAATAAATGACAGTCATAAAGTACAAATCAATAAAAAATTAATTCTTTGAAATCTGAAATATTAAGATGACTAAACTTGTCTCTCATATCTGAGGATTCATACTGTTACAGGTCCAATAAGAATAAGACACTGTAAGGGTTCATGAATTTATTATATTCTGATAGATCAATGATTGATGATTAGCCCTAAAATTATAAACATAAATATAAATACATTTAAATCTGTAAAGCAAATAATTACAAGCATAAACAAATAATATACATCACATGAAATATAATAGTATATGACAAAATGTTCAATATTATGCTTTACATGTACCTCATGATAAATATATACAGTACTGCACTCTGAACAAAGGGCAATAACTCTTAATTTCAACTGAACAGATTCATAGAGCTTTACAGATAAAACATAAAAATAGAAGTAAAAAATAGATTTTGGTGATTAAGCTTGGTAGATCAAAAATATTTGTCAAACATACTTTACAGCCAATAGCTTCATTAACCAATTCAAAGTAATAAAAATATCTAAAATAACAAGTACATACTATACTCAGCAATGACCTAACTGACCTAACCGATGACAGGAAAGGGCAAGGCCTCAATTACCATAATAATGCATTACATGACACTACCAAACTAGACAAAACACTACACACAACACAAATCACAACACAAGCACATGGCCAGGTAAACATTAAAATCACATTAAATAATATAATCAAACACATTTAATATTTTAATGAATTTTATTAAATGTGACCTTACTACAATACAACAATATTTTTTTATTAAAAGAAAATAAACTTTATTTTCACTTTAGAATGCCTGGTTTTGGACCCAAATTCTTCAACTGCATACTCTGTAAATGCAGAACAAAGCCTAAAACTCGTAAACATGTCCATAAAGACACTGCTAAGTACTTACAAAAAAACTTCATGGTTGAGGCTCAGGAAGGAGATGTTATCTGCACGAAGTGTAATTTGAATTTTTACAAAAAAAAACAGTTCAGTGCGTCAGAAGTAATTCAAGCAGACAATTGTGAACCTGGCCAAACTGTTATCAGCCTCCCCATCAAAACAACGGTAAAAACCCATGCCTATTGCTGTCTCTGCAAGCGCCCAGGACCAAAATTGTTATCTGTTTCTTCAGATGCTAGGGTACATTTTTTTGCCCAGCATAACATCCTGTTGCCAGCGGGTGCAAGATGTTGTCCAAACCATATTAAAGATGGAAGGATAGTGGATGGTGATTATGTTCACTTTCGAGATCAGGTCTTGTTGGATGGCGAGGATATCATGGCTCTGATATCTAAACTTAAAGATATCGTGGCATCAATTTCCAAGTCAAGATTAGATTTTGATGATGATAGAGAGATGTCGGATGAAGATTATCTGAATTTGACAGGGCTGAACAAGAGGGACTTTGAGGATCTCTGCAATTGTGCCTCACAGGAAATGCGCAACACACCCAGTAGAAGCATCAAGGCATCCGTTGCCATCTTTCTTATGAAGATGAAGTCTGGACTTCCAAACAAAATCATGGCCACCTTATTTGGAATATCAAAATCAAGCTTGCGTCGTGCAATTTCTTCTGTAAGAAAATCACTGATGTCAACTTTCGTACCAAACAACCTTGGTTTTCAACATATTTCAAGGGAGGCCATCATTTCCGATCACACGAGGCCATTAGCTCAGTTTTTATTTGGTGATGCAGGGGACCCCAAGGCCATTCTGGTAATAGATGGAACTTACATCTATATCCAAAAAAGTGAAAACTTCAAATTCCAAAGGCGCACCTATAGCATGCACAAAGGACGTCCCCTGGTTAAGCCCATGGTCATCTGCTCTACATCTGGATACATCCTGTCCATTTTAGGCCCATACTTTGCAGATTCGAAGAACAATGACGCAGCTATCCTCAACCATGCCATGAGTAGAAATGCTGATGCAATGCGTGAATGGGTCCAGGAAGATGATGTATTTGTTGTTGATCGCGGTTTTCGGGACTCCCTTCAAGTACTAGAGGATCTCGGTATAAAAGCCCAGATGCCATCCTTCCTTAAAAAAGGAGAGAAACAACTTTCCACTGAAGATGCCAATTCCTCCAGACTTGTATCAAAAGTAAGTATTTCTGAAAGTGAAAAACATAAACATTACTCTCTACATTTGTCTGTGTAGTATCTACAAAGTTACTTATTTCAGTAAAAGTAAAACAAAGCCATATGAATGCTTGCATATGTAATTTTTTTTTACTAGTTATCATCTCAACTTATAGACTAATGTCTTAGGTCATTACACATATAGTAATCCTCCCACCAATTGTGATAATATTTTAAATATTTTTAATTATATTTGCAGGTGAGGTGGGTAGTGGAGTCTGCCAATGCAAGAATTAAAAAATGGAAATATCTGAACAACATCTTACCAACAAATCAAGTGCCTTACATTGGCGACTATGTCCGCATTGTTTGCGCTTTGTCCAATAAGTTTGCACCCCCTCTGTCCAAAACTACAGCTGATGATGAACACACTGCAGCAAAGATGCTGTACCTTTCCCACCAGAAGAACTATCTGCAGCAGTATGTTTTGGAAAATGGTCTAGACAGACGAAGTGTCATTTGGAAGTCGATTGATACTTTGGATGGATTTCCACAACTCGACGAGGAGGATCTGTCCAACATTACTTGTGGTAGTTACCAACTTCGGCTAAGTTCTAGCTACATTCAGGAACACATAGAAGGGGAAGCAGACATCTATGTCCATCGTGAGGATCCAGGGCTAATTCAGGTGAAGATGCAATCTAGACACGTCTCATCCAGGAAGCACACATTATGGATCCAGTTTAATGAGACACAGGTGATAGCCACGTACTGCAAATGCCGAGCTGGAGCGCGTGTCGTGGGAGTGTGTTCGCATGTGGCAGCTGTGCTGTGGTTTCTTGGATTCTCCAGACATGAACAAAGGAGTGGTTCATATGGTGTACAGAACTGGGGGAATCGCTTCAGGATGCAGCAGCAATTGATGACTCAGATTCGGACGACAGTGTTTGTGAGGAATAAGTTTGTTGCGTTCCCTCATCAGAAGACAGATGGATTCTTTTCCTTATGATTTTCAAACTGGTACCTAAAATTAATTGAATCATGCAAATCAAATGAACAACAATTTTCTTTCTCTAGTATTGATTTGATTTTTTCACAAGTACAATGTTCTATATCTTTTATTCCATAACTTTGATGCACACATAATATGTAACCTTTAAATCAGTCTTGTATATTTCATTTGTAATTATTTGAACAGGATTTTTTTCTTGAACATGTACCCTATATTTATATATATTTATATTGTGGGTGAATTAGTTTTTTTCTTTCTAGATCAGTGATATTGTTTATTAACTCTTCCTTTCTTTACCTTAAAAAAGCAAAATTGCCAAAACATGATTAAATGAAGGCGACACTTGTGTGGTCAAGAACTGTTTATTGCATTTCTTTGTGTGCCAGATTTATAAAGGCTTAAACTATGTGCATAGACCTAACAAATTACCTCTTTTTGTTGATCGAATGCAGATATACACCACGAATGAGTAACGGCAGCATGGTAGGCCCCTAATGATACTGAAAAAGATGAACACATTTCAGAAAATTCTATTTCAGGTAACCACTTCAAAATGCACTGCTGTTTTGATTAGTTACCAGGTAGTTATAAATTAAACAAAAAGATGTGTTTGTAAAACACTATGCACTTTGGTGTCATTTGAAAGAACTACAATAGTGGAGAATGCATACCAAATATGAAGTCTCTAGATCTCATCAGTCATGATTCGAAGGTTATGGCGAAGGATAAAGTTGACAATAGAAGACAAACAGACATGACCAAAAAAAAAATGTCCCAGATCTATCAATAGGGGTGCATAATTATAACTAATGAATACATATTAATTGCAAAATATAAAATTGTAATATTTAAAAATTCAAATAAACATGATAAACAAGCCCAATAAAAAATAAATGTAATACATAATTCATATAATAAATCAGATATGTCTATGCACAGGGATCTATATACAAAGTATATACACAGTAGGTCCCTGCTATGCTTGGACATTTCTGTATCAAGTGAACTTACGAAGAAACTTTGCTGTCTTTTTTTTGTTGTTGTTGTTGTAAATAATGAAGATATATCTAGACTGTTAGAGTCTGGAATAGGTCAACCCCCCCCCCCTTCCAAAATATTAAAGTGTTCAATAAAAAAAATAATAAAAGGATTAAAACGGAGATCTTGAAATAAAGTGAAATAAGGTCAAAATTAAAAAAAATAAAAAGGCCACAAAATGTGCTTAGGCCTAACCATCGTAACGTGTCTTGTGTAAATGTAAACAATGACTGAATGAGAAACGGGAGACGGTGCGAGGATGAAGGGATGTCAAAAGAGAATGTTATTACCTAACAACTTTGATCAAGATTATATACTGACCTATTGGCGTGTGTGTGGTTTATTTTTTATATACTGTATACTCAAACATAGGCTAGTTCCAATGTTTTATTGTACATTACCAGTGAGTCATGCACACGAATACAAATAGATTCAGACATACATATGTCTATTTAGAAACTAAAAAACAATACATTCACAACCTTATTTTTAATACTCACAGTTTAACAACAAAATAACCAGTGCTGACTGCATATCGCGTCGAGTCTGATGCATGTTCGCCGCAAGATAGATCTACTCATCTAGGGGCACATGCTTCGTTCCTTCCGCTATGGCGGTCTCGACTGAATTTGTGCCCCAAGTAAAAAGTAAGCGATATACTATAACCTTGTATTAATTTATAGAAATATTATTCAACTCTCATAAGAAACAAACTACAATAAAAAAATAGTCTTATTAAAACACAAAATTACATGTGTGCTATCTAAATAATACAAGCTGCTGGTCAAGAACATATAATGAATTTCGCATAACGTTATCAAGTACGTTTTTCACGTTCAATGCGCATTTTACTGAAAAACAATGCCACATTTCAAAGTCTCTCTCTAAAATACCGTTTGGTACAACGAAAAATTAAAAAATGGTATGAAAACCTCATATTCTCAAGAGTATAATATTGTTCAAATTATACATTTTTGAGTTAAGGCATATTTTGATGATTCGTGGCTTTAGCTCTTTAACGCACTTTCAAAAAAAAATTCAAAGTGCATAATTTTGCATACCGCGTTGTAACACATTCTCAACAACTCTGTCATACTGCTCTAAATCACTGGAATGCTCCCCCCTTTTTTTGCCAAAGTACCAAGTCACAACATTTATTTAATAGGTCTAACTAGACATGTTCAAAGTTTGTGTATAATATTGGTCAAGATTAAATTGGTTGACTGATAAATTATGTTACAGCGAAGTGCAAATTTAAAATACTTGCCATATTATTTTTCAATCCCAAAATTTTTAACCCATACCAACTTAATCAATTAAAAATTCATTAAAATTTCATTTCACACAAAGAATGCAAGATAGTGATAACCATTGTGAACCAGAGGTCAGAACTCTTCCTATTAAATATATATGTTCATTTGTTTGTGACAATGATTTTATCCAAAATGACTTACAGTGAGTATTATGGACAGATGAAATAAACAAATCTTTGTCAAAAAAATTTGAACATAACAATTTGAGTCAAGTTTTATTGAGTAAACAGAACAAGTTTCACGGCTAAGTTGTATTTTTTTTCATTCAAATTTTCACAAAAATGGAATTTGAAAAATATTTCTATAGATTAAGGATGGTTTCAGAGAGGCAGAATTTTGAGCATCATAGAAGGTTTACAATTTCTTTATTTTTTAGAAATTTATTATTTGCATCATTTTCAATGAAAATAGGCCAAAAAATATATACATATCCAGGCATCCATTTTTGTTTGTATCATCTATCCTTAATGTAATCAAATCATGGTGTTATTTTCAGTTCAGAAGTGATATCGATTTGGATATCTATATATTTTTGTCACATGTAGTTCTGTATATTTAATTGTGCAGAAAAAAATTGGCACGTACACTGGCACGTACACGTTGACATTATTCAACCAATTCGACTTTTTTGCTGGGACCGGGTTTGTAATGATATATTATACAAATGTAATTACCTTTTCCCAGAAACCCAGAGTCCTTTGAACATTTATCACATGTCTTTCCAGAAGTTGACACTTGCACTGCATTTCTTCAGATTTGATTTTGGAGAGCTCGCTTTCAAGAGTGAAAGATAGATCATTCTCATTACAAATGTTGTTTTGGCATTTGAATCCTTTATGGAAAATGTTTGTGCCAATAAAAGTTTCTGTCAATTCTTCTATGGCATTTTCAAGGAAACCTCCGATTTCAATTGATACTTTTTTATTTATAGCCAATGGTTTGATTTGCAGCACTTGCATTTGAATTTCATCATTACATATGCCAACAACAACAGTGTGTTCATTGTGATCAAACACTACTGCTGTTTGATAAAGACATAAACTTCCTTCATGATCTCCATCATTTGAAACATTCCATCTTAGAAACCCCATGCAATATGCTACCAGTCTGTAGAACACAAACATGGCAAAAGATGTGAACCGATAGCACAAAATGGAGGAGCATTCCCATTTATCTTCACTAAAGTAAGCTTTAAACTGCTTTTTGTTCATGCACGGAACATACCATGACATGTCACCTTCTGATACAGCCCCAGAGGACTCCAAAGGTACCAGCATTTGAAGCTTCTCCATGTAAGACATAATTTCACTTTTGTGTGTCAAATATAAGGGTTCATCTTTCCATAGCGCATTTACCACTTTATCTTTAAGTTCCCCTGTTTTGTTAAAGGATTTCCATTCTTTGATTAATCTTGTTTTGCAGTCTTTGTTGATGTGGTTTTTATCAGCAATAATCTTACTGAAAGCTTTAGCAAACCACTGAATGTCTAGTACTGCATGTTCCCTCAATTTCTCATCTTGAAAATACAAAAGAATGCCATTGTCATGGAAACACTTCAGAAACCTAGACATTTCCTCATCACTTTTAATTTGGTATTCGTCAGGGAGGGATGAGTTGAGCCTCCTAATTTCATCAAGGGACAAAGCTTTCCACCCTCCTTCATATAATAACTGTTCCATTAAAGCCCATGATGAAGGTATTTCAATTTTTGTATTGGTCTCTTCTGTAAAAAGTTCAACTATGGACTTTTTAATTGAATCCAGCTTTGTCTTTGTTTCATCATTTAGTTCAACTAGACCTACTGCATATTCCCGATCATTCAGAGACTCACTTAACCAATCTCTGTCCTCGTCTGGTACAGCATTCCAGAAGTCTTCAAAGTAATTCTCTATTTCCTAAAGAAGTAAACAAATACTTTAACCATACAACCTGAGGCTTGTGTGCTACAAAACTAATCTAGGTCTAATTGGCCTATGAATTCTAAACTATAATATCAAAAATATATCTTTATACTTCTAAATATTTTTTATCCCATATTATGGCTATTTTCTAGCTATAAATGGTCCACATCGCTCAAAGCATTACAAGAGGCTCATGGTCCCCCTCTTGCTTTAACCCATTACCCCCTTCCCTTTTATGATTTTATAACTTTAGAATCTACACTACCCCAGGATGCTTCCATATAGTACCCGCATCGTTATTCTTTACAAATCTATCGTGTCCTATCGTGCGTGTATCCTATCGTATCGTGCGTGTATCCTATCGTATCGTGCGTGTATCCTATCGTATCCTATCGTATCGTGTTTTCCGTTTATCGTGTTTCGCGTTTTCTATCGTGTTTTCCGTTTATCGTGTTTTGCGTTTATCGTGTAGATCGTTTATCAGGTTCTATCGTGTATCGTGTTTATTGTGTATATGCGGAAACCCTCGCTTTTTATCTTTACTACAGGAAGAAACTACCGAGGTATTCCGAGTTTCTTTTTTCGTTTTGTGAACTAAAATAAGATTATTTTAACCAAGAAAGAGGAAAGAAAGTTTTATCCCTTAGTTTTTCATTATTAAAAGAAATATTAAAGCGAAGAAGGAAAAGTTGAAATAAAAGAATAATATAATTAATAAATCAAATAATTAATAATAAAATTAATTAAGAAAATAATCATATCATAATCTAGCAGAGAATTAATTTTTGAAAATGAAGCAATCGATTCCCTGTTGTTCTTGTTTTTTTTTAATTCATTGATCTGTATGATTTTTTTGGTCAAAATGAAAAATTAAAAAGATTTTTCTTTAATTAATCACTAGAGAGGATGATTTTCAGTAAGTCACGGTGTATACGTACCTCCGACCACCCTTCCGAAAAATTATAAATAATTATTAGGAGGGGATTGATATGCATCTTTTCTAAATGCAATACAGTATTCATTTTCTCCCGATCAATCATCTGGTAATATTAGGTATGTGTTTTCGCCCCCTGATCGGCATGTATGCACAATTATCTAAAATTTTGATTTAAAAGAAAATAATAACGAAGCATTTAAGACATTGACACAGATAACTTAAACACTGATTTTGTTCATCAAGACTCAATTTTTTTTAATCTATTTTTATCACTATCTAATTAGTTAAATTCCTTAATATATCTAAATAAAAAAAAATATCAAAATTATAAAATGTAATGCATGAAAGTGCTCTACCCGATTTATCACACCGTGGCAGTTACTATAAAATAGAAGTTTATCGTTAATTTTATTTGGCATCAGATAATCTAAAAATAATAAACAGGATAAACATGATGACTTTTATCAGCTTACCTTTTCGGCATGGAAATAAACTGAAAATTTAATGCACCTGAGTGTCAAATCGAAGATCTTTCCTTACCAGAAAACTGACACGCATGTGTTCCTCTCTAATCAGCACACCGCCTTTCTGTGCGGTCAACACCCCCCCCCCTTCTCCCCTATCCCCCTAAGTGACAGCTCGACCCGTGTGTGTTCATCGTCAACATACCTGAACTGCTCTCTCGCCTTGTGTCAAACAGTATCTGTTTTCGGGATTCTGTTCATACCTTGTCTGAACTACACTCATATAAGATTTTTTTCTAAATTAGTTAAATAATTGTACAATTATGGATTTAAAAAAAATCATTTCCTTGCTGGAATTTAAATAAAATTCATATAAATCAATTTTATGAAACAACGTCTCCTAACTCAATCCGCTGATTTATTTTATTCTTACGATGTTTCCCTAATGATTATGTAAATAGTCTTTTAATAAACTTTTTTAAAGAAAAAATACTGCACTTATGGTACTTGAACTTTCGGATCACCGGGTTTTCATCGGGTTACAGGCAGAATTAATTCTAGGAAACAATTTCTTTGATCGTAGGAAATATTGAAATAATTCTTACATTATAAACTATGAAAATTTGCTCGCATTAATTTTTTTTACGTCAAAAAATCTGATTCCATCGTGACCATGCAAGACGAGTAAATTTATTGCACCGAATCAATTTATAGTATTAATCGATTTCATTTCATACATTTCATACGTTTATAACTTTATTTAAGAAGTCAATATTATTTTTGGCTATTTGGTTAAATCATTTTTATCTAATTTTAAATTAGTTACGGACTTTCAACATCTCGCCCTTCTAATATGCCTTATATGAGATTACTGGGTAAGTCTAACATAATTTTCAGGGATTAATATTTCATTTGCACTAGAGACATTACACACAAAGTTTAATAGCAATGATTGAAATCATTTAGTCGGAAAAGTCGCATATCACTCTTTTAATAGTTGTTTATTATTGTTTGTGTCTTGTATTGTGGAGAAAAAAAGTATTTTATCATTCAATATTCGTTAATTTATACGAGGTTTGAAGTATCTGATATATAAAAGTTTACATGTACATAAATGAGAGCTTAGCGTAAACGTACAGTCATGTACATGTGCAGTTGTAGCAGATTCATATTCTGGTGACACAGTTTACATGTATCAATGCGGAACGCCATTATATTAACAATTATTTAGATTTCCACTCAGAAAATTAATTTTCTTGAATTATATAGTTCGTTGAAGCCGATTTCTTTAGACCTTTCTTTTGGCCGGTCTTCTACATGTATTTTTTTTCTAAGATTTTAATATTTAATTGCGAATTTTGGATACACTAGAGATTGTAAGCTTTAGACATTTAATACAGATATTTAATTTATTTTGTAATTTTCTTCCGTGAAATAACTTAGTACTTGTATATAAATTTATTAGGGACAAATGTATATTTTTTTCATAAATAATAAATCTATTTAAAGAGTTTCATAAATATATAATAATACCCGTGAGAAACGGCACATAATTATATAAGGGATAAAAAAAATCATTTTTGTGCAACAATTACATGTATATTAAAATATCCATAATTAAACGAGTTATAGTTCAACCTTAACAAAAGAATTTCAACATTTACATTAATAATCGTAAATTCACACCCCTGAGTAGAAATGTAAAAAAAAAATTACAGTCTCCATTTCATAATAATTCATTTAATCATAATTGTATAAAAAATATAATAATAAAAAAAACAACAATATTTTTATTATAATAATTAATGTACTTTATAATTTAGATTTGAAGCTTTGCAAATATTTAAATTAAGATATTGCAGTAGCTTAACAAAATAATATTTTCGTTTTGTGAGAAAACGTTCCGCATTTTAGAACAATCCTATCAGGTTTTGCGTTTATCCTATCGTAAAGATCGTTTATCAGGTCTCTCGTGTTTTGCGTTTATCGTGTTTTGCGTGTATCGTGTTTTGCGTTTATCGTGCTTTGCGTTTATCCTATCGTGCGTGTATCCTGTCCTATCGTGCGTGTATCCTATCGTATCGTGCGTGTATCCTATCGTATCGTGCGTGTATCCTATCGTATCGTGTATCCTGTAAAGAATAACGATGCGGGTACTGTATAAGTTACAGCTTTCCTGGCCCAGTGGTTCTTGAGAAGATTTTTAAAGATTTGTTCTATATATCTCTATGTAAAACTTGGATTCCCTATTGTGACCCCGCCCTACCTTTGGGGGTCATGATTTTAACAATTTAATATTTCACTACCCAAGGATATTTCCTCATAAGTTTCAGCTTTCCTGGCCCAGTGGTTCTTAAGGAAAAGAGTTCTAAAGATTTGTTCTATATATTTCTATGTAAAATTTTTGTCGGCCATTGTGGCCCCGCCCTACCTCTGGGGGTCATGATTTTAACAATTTAATATTTCACTACCCAAGGATATTTCCACATAAGTTTCAGCTTTCCTGGCCCAGTGGTTTTTGAGGAGAAGAGTTTTAAAGATTTGCTCTATATATTTCTATGTAAAATTTGGATTCCCTGTTGTGGCCCAGCCCTACCTCTGGGGGTAATGATTTTAACAATTTAATATTTCACTACCCAAGGATATTTCCACATAAGTTTCAGCTTTCCTTGCCGAGTGGTTCTTGGGAAAAAGAATTTTAAAGATTTGCTCTATATATTTCTATGTAAAATTTGGATTCCCTATTGTGGCCCCGCCCTATCCCTGCGGGTCATGATTTTAACAATTTAATATCTACACTACCCAAAGTTGTTTTCACATAAGTTTCAGCATTCCTGGCCCGGTGGTTCTTGAGAAGATCTTTAAAGATTTGTTCTATATATTTCTATGTAAAACTTGGATTCCCTATTGTGGCCCCGCCCTACCCCTGGGGGTCATGATTTTAACAATTTAATATCTACACTACCCAAGGATGATTCCACATAACTTTCAGCTTTCCTGCCTCAGTGGTTCTTGAGAAGAAGATTTTTTAGAGTCCCCACCCTATTTTGTCTTTTCTTGATTATCTCCCCTTGTAAGGGGACTTAGCCCTTTATTTTAATAATTCAAACTCCCCTTTACCCTAGGATAGTTTTTTCAAGTTTGGTTAAAATTGGCCCATTGGTTCTTGAGAAGAAGTCGAAAATATGAAAAGTTTACAGACGGACGGACGACGAACAAAATGTGATCAGAAAAGCTCTCTTGAATAAAAATAATACCAGACTTATAAACTTGAATCAACTTTCGCTGAGGATGCCACTTATTATTAATCTGACTAACTTTGCCAAGCTGCTCTACAGAGGTACAAATGCAAAGAGTGAAAATTGCTCAATAACTTTGGCTTTATCATGCTTTTTCTGACGTTTGAAACTTTAAATCAACAAGAGGCACATGGGCCTTATAGGTCACCTGAGTATCATGTAACAACCAGCTGTGCACCTCATCTCAAGGGAACCACTAACCCTGGGGCCACATATTTCAAAATTTTGCAAATTTGATCATAAATGGTTGATTAATACCAAAGAGCATATTTCAAAGCATAAATTGATTCTCAG